ACGGGGTATTACAAGATCCAGCCAGGCAGTCCTCCCGTTCCCTCCTTTCGGTGGGACGGGTGCGTCGAGCTCTTAATGTCCCGTCAGTATCCTGGTCCATCTGAACCAGGGGGTCGTCCATGGGACGCTTCTCACTTAGAATCGGTACAGAATGTGATTCCATCTCGAAAGTACTCTCCCCACAGACGGCGCCAAAATGTTTCGGGGTTTTTTGATGTCCTGCGGGAGAGTTACAATTCCGGGACTGGGATCCTTGCGCATGTACCTGCAAAACAACGGAGACTCTGGGTGATGGGAGCTCCGCCTCTAACGATCAAGTTAGTACTTGTAGGTGGAGTATAAAGGTGCGGAAAGTAAAAGAGTGATCTGGTTCCTCTAGGAGGAGGAGTGATCGGAAGTGAAAATAATGCTAAGTTTGGTCTAGCGATTAGTATGCACGTGTGTTTAGGCTTCTCTTGGTGAGAGTAATTAATTAATTCTGAATGTGTTCAATGAAGGCTATTTACTAAATTTATAGCCTCAAAGTACGTGCCTAAAACTAGGTTAAATGGTAAACCTAGGACTGATTGGGCTTGCCTCGGGATTCGGGCCCAGTTGGCCGTTTTCCAGGTTGGCAATCTAGGTGTCACGTGGCGTGGCGCGATTGATCCATGCTGGACCTCTTAGAGCATGACACGTGGCAGCCCCTGAATGGTCCACGTGGCTAACACGTGGCAGGTGCTGATTGGTCCACGTGGCGGGGAAAAATCCCCTAAACATGTGTCACAATAATACTTATGTTTGGCTTACATGGCGCGACACTTGGCGAAAAATTAGAATACCAAGTGTCACTATCTCGTGGCCTGTTTATTAAAAGTTATGATTAATTTTGTATATATGAAACTAGTTTATGCCCCGTGCGGTGTCTGGGTTGTTTATTGAATTTTAAGATGAAATTGTTTATCTAGAATATATATGTTTTTTGAATTTTTAATTCATGGATTAATAATCACTTGACAATTATACTTGTAAAATAAAAAAATATAGTACTACCGATCATAAAGATATTGGTCGTTTTAGGAAAGCGTTTGGGCTATTTGATAGTTCTTGAAAGTGACGCAAGTAGCATGCATGGTTTGAGCAATTAGAAGAAATCAGTTTGGAGTTGCACCTATTTTCATATTGTTGGATGAAATTTCTAGGATAAGTTGGGATTTTAATGTCTTTGCTTTTAGCTAAGATGGGAGAAGTGTTTTGGGTATGAGTGTTTTGGATAAGAAGAAAAATTACAAAAAAAAAAAAGAAAGAAAAAAAAAGAAAAGAAAGTTAATACTTAGAATGCTGGGTTTGGCAAAAGTGTAATGTAGGCTTGTAGGAGTAATGATAATGTAAAACTACAAAGAACGATTGTCTAAACCTGTGATCTCTCTCATTTTCTTTGAACATTTAGAGAAAGGTTGGTTATATGTTAAGACTTAAGAGACTGGTTATATCGGTTTTTACTCTCTATCTCTCTCTACTCCAAAAATTTTCTAGGAGTCCACAATTTTAAAAACTACCACATGAAGAAGTCTCTCATACAACATGGGTTCTCTTTATTTTTACTCTCTATCTCTCTCTACTCCAAAAATTGCCTAAGAGACCGCAATTTTAAAAATGATGCATCTAATAAATAACGGAGGAAGTATGTAATAGCGGTTAATTTGATTTATTTTTTTTCTTTTTGGGGGAGGAGAATGAGGTACATGTATTTCTTCATACCCTTTTGGATCTGCCACTTGTAACATAAAATATTAGTATTTTATTGAAAATATAATTCTAAACCAAAAGTTTTAGCTTAAAAATCTATCCAAATTTTATTGAAAATAAAACTGTAAAATGACTTTTTTTATCCTAAAAAATCTATCTAAAGCTATCAAGCTTTTTTATGCTAAAAAAATTATCTAATTTATGCAACTTTTCATCTTATTCTACAAAAAATATATTTAAATAAACCCTACACGTTATAAAAATAATTAATTGTCGCCTACGTGGCGCAACACTTGGCGAAAAAAATTGAAACGCTAAGTGTCGCTGTCTCGTGGCCTGGATGCGAGACCGACTTTATTTATTAGTGATATGATATTAGAAGTATATTGACAATAAAACTCTATACGACAATTTTATCTAAAAAAATCCATCCAAAATTCGCTTACTTAGCATCACATGTGTCACAATAATACCTAATTTTCGCCTACGTGGCCTGACACTTGGCGAATAATTGGAATGCCAAGTGTCGTTGTCTCGTGGCCTGACTGCGAGACCGACTTTATTTATTGTTGATAAAATTGTAAAATAAAGTTTTTGCTTTGAATGTTAAATATGATCAAATAAACCCTTTTGACAATTAGTTTTGTGAGGAAAAACTTTTGGCATAAATGTTATATATGGACAGATAATCCCTTTTGATAATGCAAGATATTTAGACATATGATATCATATAATAATGTACTTTTTGTAGTTTTGTTTGTAAATAGATATCTATGTTATTATTGACTTGAAATTATTGTTATTGAACTTAAATTATTTTTACTTAACCGAAAGTCTTTTTACCAAACCCAAATTATTTTTACAAATTAAAACTTATTTTTATTGATCTCTTTTTTTTTAACTAAATTGAATGTATAATAAATGGATCTTATTTTAAAGAACTTTTTGAAACGAATTTTATGATGGAAATAAACTGAGTTATATGATATTTATTAAAAGTTATGATTAATTTTGTATATATGAAATATTAGAAGTATAGTGATAATAAAATTCTATACAACAATTTTATCTTAAAAAAAAAATTTATCCAAGAATCGCTTACTTAGCATCATATGTGTCACAATAATACATATGTGTTGCCTATGTGGCGTGACACTTGGGGAGAAACTGGAATGCCAAGTGTCGTTGTCTCGTGGCCTGGCTGCGAGACCGGCTATATTTATTAGTGATATGATATTAGATTTTTTTTTAAACAATAAGATAGTAGATTTATACTGATATAGCTATTATGAAAACATTCTTAACATAATTTTGATCATTTTCTACCTCATTTATATCTAGCATATCTTTCGTAATCCCTTATTTTGATCAAAATGTGTCAACTATATTTTTAGGTTTATTTTTTTGTTTATAAAAAACTAATTATAATGATAGTTTGATAATAGTTATTGAAAATTATTGTGTATGGCACGAAACTAACCTATTTTTATACTTATATTGAGTGTAATTTATAAAGTCTAATATGATTAATCTAATGCATGATAAGTGTTTTTCTAAGAGTAAAATTTATGTTTGAAAAAAGATAACTTTTATAGTATAATAAGGTAACATTACATACTTTTAGCCTATTAGGTAACATTAACCAGTCTAACAATAACTTAATGAAAGTTCGCCTTATTCATAATTTTTTTTTTATCCAAAGCTCTATTGTTTAAGTCCAAGTACTCTAAAAAAATATCTACCATTTTGGGTTAACAATTCCCTTAGTTCTACTTCCTCCATTCTTTTTAGTTGCATCACTTTTCTAAAACGAAAGTTTCAAATTAGTTACATCACTTTCCAATTTAGGGCATGTTCGGCAAAATATAGATGTGAAGGTAGTTGTTAGCGGTGTAGGTAACTGTTAGTTATCAACAAGTTGTTAGTTGTGAAGATAGATGATTTAGGTATGAATGTTTGGCAAAGTAACAGTTGACTAACTGTTACATTTAAAAATCAATATATATATATTTTTAAAATATAGATTAAATTTTTCAACAACTACCTCTAATTTCAAATTAAAAGCTAACATTTCTAACTTTTGATAAAAACTACCTCCACCACTAAAAGCTACCTCAACCACTACATTGCCAAACACTCATATTTTTTGTTAAATAGTTGTTTGACTTTGTCAAACCACTAAAAAGTACCTAAAAGCTACTCAAAAGCTAGCGCCGAACACGCTCTTAAGTTAAAAAACATCTATATCTTTCTCCTATCACATGGATCCATTTTTTTTTTTGACTTGGAAGAAATAATATCATTCCATATGGCATCTACAATAATAATAAAAAATTGTAAACCACAAATTTAGAGAAATTAATATAACTTTTCCAATAAAAAACATAACTAATTTGCATATTTGGCATAGCTCGCACTCCACCGCTTCAATTTTGACGCGAGTAGTGATTTTCGATGTCTTTGCATCTTTCCAAGTAAAGACCTTCGCAATCTGCACCGATGTTTTGATTGTAGAGTTGATGATAAACCCTAAATCCATATGAATCCAAGTCACCTTCCTAATTATTATCAAAACCCTAAAAACAAAATTCTCATCCATAAATGAGAATCAAAATCCCAGAAAATAGGGAAAACCCCCCCAAAAAAAATAAGGACAAACTCTCACAAATGGAGAGAAGAAAACAAAACATAAACAAGCCAAGCAAAAACTTAATTGAATTAAAGAAAACGGTCGAAAATAGTCTAATTTTCAAAGAAATTAAACTATTTTCGACCTAAATGGTCAAGAAAACTAAAACCCTAGAAAAGAGAGGAGGGAGGAGAGAGAAGAGAAGAGAGAAATGGAGGCGGTTTTCAATATGGATCCATTTTTTTTTATTCTCTCTATCTCTCTCAACTCTAAAAATTGCCTAGGAGCCCGAAGTTTGCAAAGTGTTGTCCAAAAAAAAAAACAGAGGAAGTATATTCTTTAAGGTTTTCTTTAAATTTGGCTGCGAAGCCACATCCGTGCTGGTGCTCATGGAAAAAGGGGTTGTTGGTGACGTACATGGAGGAAGAAGAAGCAAGTGTGGTGTGACTAATGCTTGGAGGAAAAAGGTGCTATAGCTTGGAGGAAGACGAAGAGAAATGTTGGTGTGCGTTTTTCAAGGATTTAAAATTATAAAAATAATGCTATATTAACATACTTTGTTAATACAGGATATTAATTGGACAAACTCTCGTGCTCGCTCATACAATGACAACATTACTTGTAGCATTAACACGAAGACTAAGATTGGGAAAATTAATATTTGACAAAGTGCATAGACTACTATAAAATTCAAATATTGGTCAACATAATGTTTTAATCTTTCAAGCAAAATTTACAAGAGATATTATGTTATAATCAACGGAATTACTCTTTATCCCACAACAGTGGCTCAACTGTCATTAAGGGCACATCACATGTCCACTCAATCTGATTCACCAAAAGCGCTCATTGGAATCGAGCAATTGTCCATTTAGCTGGCTGTTGCACCTACTGAAGCAGCAAGTTCTTCTAATAACTCTTTCTGTTCCATAGTTGTACAGGACTGCAAGAGAACAACCAGAACATGAATTAACATATACTTATCCAAAATGATTTCGAAATCCTCAAAGAGCAATAAGCTCCCAGCAAGATGTTTTACCTGGACAGCTGTCTCTATATCGCCTTCCAGAAAAGACGTGAGCTCAAAGTTCATTTTTAACCGGTGGTCTGTCACCCTATTATCCTGAAGAAATTTAGATTGTGAAAATCACATACAACTCATCAAATGAGATCCAAGTGCTAAGTTCATTTTTAACCGGTGGCCTGTAACCCTATTATCCTGAAGAAATTTAGATTGTAAAAATCATATACAACTCATTAAATGAGATCCAAATGCACCTCCAAGGATGGGTGACAATAAAGCTATTCAACTCATTGTATTTTGAGTATATCTTAAACTCTTTTTTTCCCCATATTGAAATGTTAATATCATCCTAGAATAAAATAGAGCTGTATCCTATATGGCCAGATAACAGCAAATTAGAATCATACCTTATAATTATATGTTCGAATTTTTTCAGCACGAGCACCAGTTCCAACCTATCATTTAGCAAAGTTACATGAGCATTTCGAAAGAAAAGATGATGCAAGCAAACTATTATAAGTTCATCTATGAATCTATGATACCTAACTAGGATACTATCTATTCCATTCAGAAGAATTAACATTTTGGGTAACTGTTAGGTTTGTTACCCAATCCCAACTACAGATGTAGATTGTAATGGTGGCAATGAGACATGGTTCATGACCTACATGCTACACTGACTTTTTTTTTTTCCCCTTCCCACTAAACAGCTCAATTCCATGACAAGATAAGAAAGTTGATTGTCAGCACTCAGCAGCTACCCAGATAACTAGGTTTACCAGCATGTACTTGGCTAGCTATCAGTATAACCAAAGACAAAAGACAAGGAGATGCCTTTCATAGGTGAACTCTAAAAAAACTGGAAGACATCATTTTAGATTCATGTGGAGGACATATCCAAAGGATGCAATCCACGCTAATCGTGTAGCAAACAAAGCTCAATCGCATAATAGAATGTTATCCCTGTGCCAGTTTATGCTTAATTTTATATTCATGTATCAACCGAGCAAAATACAGTTCAATTTTCCACAGTGATTTAAAAGTCAAACCTGCAACTTTCGCTGATTTCTAATCTCCTCTTGCTGCTCACGCAACTTGATTTCATACCTGCAATATCATTGCATCAGTGAGTAAATCCAGCTTAAGAAATAGAGGAACACTTAAAACAGAAAAATAAATGATGCCATAATCTTGGAAATCTACAAAAACAAAATTGATAAAAGGGCATGCTCCTCAACTTCTCAAGAATAAAAAAAATGCATATAAGCATGGTAATGACTTAATTCCCCTTCATGATGAAAGCACGAGTAGTATATATCTATCAATTTTTTGAACAGTCAAGGATAATAACAAGTCGAATCATTCCTACGCAACTTTCACAACGAATGTTGGCTATCAGCACCTGTTTGGTCTCCATCCTATTGAATACATGAACCAAAAAGGTCCTAAAGTTAGAGGGATTCTCCTAAAATATTCAACGGATATCCATTATGCCTTAGTATACAGTGATATTCAGACTCAGGTACTCATGTGAGACATGCGTGTTTTCAACTATTGCAAGTGTTCCCGCAGTCATTCTAAAAACTTACATGTATTTGGCCCAAGTGTCAAATATTCATAATACCTATTGGAGTATGGAATATCGCGGGTACTTGAGGTAAAATAAGATATGGTTAAAGGTCATCACATATATTTGACCAAACTGCCCCCCTCTCTCTCACACACACATTTTTTTTTCAAATGAAACTTAGAATACTCTGATGCCTCTAAAATCTAGGTTCTATTCTATTAACTCTTTATGTCTGAATTTATATTATCTGAAATTACCTTAACTTATCCAAATTTATTTTGTTTGAAGTTAGCTGAACTTGTGTTAGTATCACAGCTTATTTTATTTGAACTTGTATTATTCGAACTTATATTGTCGAATTCTACATATAAGATCCCACACAAACATCTCATGCATAAGAGTAGTCAAACACCAGGTGCAATGCATGTACAGTTGAATAAATTCCACTGTGACAAGTATCAATAATTTTGTCCCTTACAATTTTGCTCTCAATAATTGCATCGCACGACTTCTGTTTCGAAGTTGTGTCCTTTCTTCTGTACAGAAAATACGAATTCCAGTGGGTTTGTGGACAAGGTCCACAGCTGTTTCAACCTTGTTCACATTCTGACCTGAAATATAACATAAATGCATGAGAATAGACAAAAAGGCTAAGAACATAGACTGTGCATAAGAAAGAAAACACTTTAAGAATTGCAAAAACATTTATGATGATGTCACCACATAAAACATGTGTTTTGTAAAGATCCATACCTCCAGCACCTCCAGATCTTGCTGTTGTAAGTTCAATATCTTTGGGATCAATGAATACTTCGACTTCATCAACCTGATTACAGCACAAGCCACAGTTAAATTCTCAAGGAAATATGGGTAACAAGGGAGAAGAGTGGTGTGTGTGGAATATGTAACATATTACAAAGTGTTTCTTAAACACGATTTTAAGCAACACCTGCCCTTTCCTACCCCCAGGTCAAATGTGAAACCTACTTCTCAACCTCATGGGCTCATGGATCACCAATTGAGGTAATCCTGTTCGTCTTCTAACTTATTAACCATGCCTTCCTTCACGGAAGTGATAGTTTGATTCTTTTGCTAATTATTAGTCTAGTATATGGTAGAATTAGCCAGATTGACAGATTGGACTGAAAATAGAGCTGGCAAAAGTTGACAAGACTCGAGAACACAACACGAATCAGAAGGCTTAAGTGATAGAATAAACCGGACTAATGGATTGGGCTGAAAATAAAGCAGGGTTGACATGAAACTATTGGACAACCTTTACACTCTCGGGTTTTCTGGCAGTTTCCTAGATTGAAGTAGCCTTTCATCGCCTTACCAAAGGTAATCCTATTCCTTGGTATCGAAAACTATAGGACACGAATATCTGTGATAATCCGTCTATTTCCATCATCTGGTCAGTCGGTGAGAGTGAGAAGTTTGGGATATGATGTCCAAATAATATCAATGACAAGGTTATTGCCACAATAGTGTTAACCACACTAGTGATAACTGATATCCACTTTGGGCATTAAGGCTTAATCCCTATCTTTCAGGTAGTGGAGGCAACCACCTTCAGGCTCCCACTATGATCTTTGAGCCCCACGCTTCTTAGTTTATAAGACGAATGGCTGTCGCCACTTAACCGCTTTTATTTCCCACAACGCCTAAGGCTTATAAAGTCCTTTGACCAACTTCATGACTCTATATGATAACATTAATAATGCATGTGGCCTATTAGAATTATTAATACAAAGATGGGGCATGAGATACAGTTTATAACTAAATGACTAACACACACCGACCCATGCCCATTAATTTTTCTAATTCAACAATAATCCCACCATTGCCCAAAAGGTTCTCAAGTTTCACAAAGTCCCCCATGGTTTGAACCATGTCCAAAAACTTTCCCCTACACGTAACTAATTGAGGACTTTTCATGTATGATGTTTAGTCTGACTGGGAGTAATCACAATTCTCCGTAGAAAAAAGCCAATCTGTAATCACATTGAAGATTGAACACTCATCGTGCATGAGCTTTGTTCAGGTCTAGGCTTTAAGGTGGCTCGTTCCATGAGCTTTGTTGAACCCATGAACTTCCAATTATTCCCAATAAGGAACCCTAATAATCCTTTGAAATTATTTGTATAATCATGTCTACCAACTACTTACTATCTCGCCCGATCGCCTTAGCCTAGTTATTAACTTTGTTTGAAGCATCACAAACATGTTAATGGCTTTCCTCCACACATCCTTTAGGACTCCCAAACCTTTTTGATGTGGATCCCAATTAGCCCAAGTCGTAGACATCATCTCCCCCACCCCCTACAGGCTTTAAGGCATAAACTCTCGATGCCAATCGCTCTTAGGTCTTGTAGATGCATTTGTGGACATTGTCATAGAAATAAGACTCATACATGGCAATAACATAAAATTTTGATGTTTTAAGGTTTCAACAGCCAAAGTGAATATTTAAACTTTATCCACCTTTTCTCTGACTAATAGACATGTTTACAATTTAAACACCTCCAAAGGAAGCTCTAGACTTTTCGTGCTTCATAGGTGACAAGAAGCAAGAAAAATATGAAGCACGAAAAACTGATGATTTACAAATATGTACTAAGTATATGACAATGCCCACGGGAGATGATTAACACAAGACAATATAGCATGTGCATCACATCTATGATTGTATTTTCAATTTGGATTACGAAATATGAAAGAGCAACATTCAAGTAAAAGACTAAAGCCAGCATGTTGTATAGAGGTTCAGAAGAGATGTAGCGTATTTAGATATCAGTGCCTTTCTGCCATGCCTAACACAATGGTCAAAATATGCAATCATAGCAAATTTAAGGCATATAACTTCACAACCTTAGCACAACATCAATAGCTGTCCAGAAAATAACGTTTTGAAACAAGGATGAAGTCCTTTGTTGAAAGATGATAAAAGAGTATACCTCAGGCATGATGGCTACAGTTGCAGTAGAAGTGTGCACACGACCCTGGGTTTCTGTCAGAGGAACACGCTGAACTCGGTGCACGCCAGACTCGTATTTCAATTTGCTATACACACGTTTTCCTTTTATCTCCATCACAAATGTTTTGAATCCTCCTTTTTCAGCCTTTTGAAAATCAGAACTTCATAAATGTACAACAAGAATTTAATGGTAAATTTGTAATTTGGCATGTAAGAACTACATACCTCTGAATATGATATTGGTGTAAACTTCCATGAATTCCGCTCACTGTACTTCTGATACATGCGCACCTACGAATTGCAAGATAATATGCTAACTAAAATAACAACAAAGAAATCACTCACATAAGATCCACATGATATTAACTACTGCCACAAGCAACTTTTTAATTTTGTTTTTGAGTCTTTATAGGGGTGGAAGTGGAGGAGAAGTGGGTGGAGGATTCATTAATAGGATAGTGACAGCACCCATACACATACCTCAGAAATTCATTCTGGAATTGGATACTAAAGGAGGTAAAGAGTAGCCTACAACTTGAGTGGTACAAAATAGTACAAGAAACTGATTTGCGGCAGTAAATCGTAATTTTTTTTGGCTCTAGGGTCCTCCAATTTATTTATTCATTTAATTTCAAGTTGTTAGCAATGAGCAGTACTCCTGCCCACTTAGACTAAAGATGAGAAGTATAGGCAATTTTTAAAAGATAGCGTATAAAGAAGAATTAAATATTGATTGGGGTTTGGTATGAATGCTAGAATACATGGACATGAAGTCTTGAAATATAATTGTAACAATGGTACTATTTTTCATGGGGTGACTATATTAATGGCAACAGTAGGTGAAAAAAAAACAAAAAGGAGATTTTTATCAGATGAAGGAAGGGGTGGATCAGGATTTGACAAAGAGAGTTGGCAAGGGTTTGTAAATGACTACCATTTAGGGGTCATTTGATATTTTAAATGTTGACACCGTCAACTATTGATTAGGACGAAATCCATGAATCAAATTCCACAAGGTCCCAGTGTTTTGGAGAAATCCATCAATAAGAGTTACAGCTTCCTAAACAGAGCACTAAAGTCAGCCAAATATGTCTAAGATATAAAATTTCACATGATAAGTAACTTTCCATAAAAATTCATTTTCCATGTAAGCCTAAAAAAGTAAAATGCAATTGGTTCATGAAAGACTCCAAAACAATGAGACTAAAGGTGAAAAAATATTATTTCATCACCAAGAAACAAAAGTACTTTAAATTGACGTGGAGAAGCAACCATTTTCATCCATCTACTTATGTTAAGGTATATAAGATGAAATCTCTGATGAGTGATGATACTTGTAAAATAAATATGGTTTAGAATTGTCTAGAATTTTTTTGTTACTAACATTGGTAATCTTTTTTAAGCCACGACTATATGGTTAGTTCACGAATAAAATAAGATGTTTAGGGGATCTTCAAGATTTGGGTTTGGGCTTTACGAGTAATTGGCATATATTATGGGCTTATTTATTAAGAATATTCTAGCGTTAGGGTTATTGCTTTCAGCTATATAATGCCATATAATGTAAACATTGAGGGTCTTGAATATTAAATATTGAATATTGAGTGGGGCTTAGTGCTTGCTTTGTTTATTGGGTGATACTAGAGCGAATTTTTGTGCCTTTTCTTGTTGCTTACACACTTTTGAAACCCTGTAAACTCATCTTTTGGGATACAACTTTTACTATTTTATTTAATACTCATAAATTCATATTATCATATCAATTATATGACATATGTTGGTCACATTATTGTTAAGCACTTACAGACGAGTCTGAGTAGAAATATATTTGAATGAATGTGTATAAATGGTTATGGTTTAATTTTTCAACAACAACTAACTTTGATATTATCCTAATCTACTTCTGCATTTTATTAGTCATAACACATAAGTTATACATTGTATTCATTAAATTTTATTTTATATTCTTGCCTGCATGGCATGCTTAAGTGGCCCATCTAAAGCTCCTAAAATACAATGAAATCAAATTTTCATTAATTTAAGCATAGATCTTACAGTGAAGAAATTAACAATCCTGCATTGATTCATATTTTACTTTCATTTCAATATAAATATAATTTAAGGCGGCAATTCTAAGACAAATATAGTATAGGTACAAAAAATCATGTCTTAATAATATTTGAAAGCAGGAAAAGAGATATGTACCTACAAGATCACCAACCCAAATTCCAGCTTCATCGCCTCCTGTACCAGCCCTAACTGCAATAACACAACATATTATAAAGTGGCATTACCAAACAAAACTAGATATTAAATTTAGATATGAATTTCTACATGGTAACTACTTGGTCAATACTTTTGATAAGCCAAACCGCCATGAATGAAAATGATATACTCCCTCTATTTACGAAAGTTCAACTACTGTAGACTCTTGTATAAGGTTGGAAAAAGTTAGTGGGTGCATGAAAAGATGACTAAAGTAAGAGTGATGGAGTAAAATGCTGGTGAATGTAAGAAAAGAGTGGATAAAGTAAGAGAGAGTGAGTAGAAAGGTGTAAATAATGTGGGATAAGAGGGATAAGGAAGTAAAAAGGGTTAGCCAAAAATGTAATAAAGTAAAAGTGAGTCAAACTTTCTAAAACATCCAAAAAAGGAAAGTGAGTCAAAATTCAGGAACAAAGGGCGTATATTGTGACCAATTGGTTCAATTCCATAGTTTTATTCAAAATGAAGGATTCAAGCATTAGTTAATAAAGTAATAATAAAAGAGCTCATTAGTACTTTATAATAGACTAACTTTTTTTTTTATTTTTATTTTGATGAAATATAATAGACTAACTTAAGGAAGGGCAATATTGGTAGTTTAGTATTATTAGGTTAGAGTCTTTAGCTTTAGTATAAATAGAGAGAGAGGAGGAAAGAAAAGATAGGCAGAATTTTGGAGTGGATCCTTGAGAAAGTTGTGACCTAAAGTCACTATTTGGAGAGTTGTGACCTCAAGTCACTAATATGAGCTTTGTAGGCTAAACCTACTAACTTTTGTAAGAAATCATTAATCTGTTTAATCAAATTTCCAAGCTTTCCCCTTTAAATTTCCTCTTAATCAGTAAAGTATACAAGTCAGATTTGCTAGTCTATAACAATCTCACAGCCACTTCCATCCCAAATTTCACTTTTCACCATAAAGTTCTAGCACAATGCAAAAAATATCCTGGCCTGAAGTTCAAGATAAAGGGGGTGGGGCACTTTAGGGAGTAGCATTACTTTTCTGTTACTACTTACTAGTGGCTTGTAGATGAAGGAGAGAGAGGATGTTGAATATTGATGAGAGTAGTTTAGCATTTAGATGCTAATTGCAAGAGAACAAAGCCTCTCAAAAGCCAATATATCCTTTATGTTTCTGAATTTCAGTTTAACCAAATCATCTTCTCCCTCCCTTATTTTCTGCCATAATGATGTCTAAGCTAACTTAGTTCTTAGTAGTCTGGTGTTTCCTATGGCCAATATGGACTACTATACATAAACAATTGCAGGTAAATACTGGAAAAAAATCACATTTTACCTTCAAGCAATATATTCCGAGCATCAAGAGGATCAGCAGGAAGAAGCAGCATCTGTCCATATTGCAATGTACAAAATTAGATTTTCAGTAAAAACAATGTCTGACATATCAAAAACACAAGAGATATATGTATCATAATAGAATATCCGGATATAATAAGCAAATAGAAATAGAAACATTGTGAATAAGATAGTTAGTGAATCACCTTTATACTCTCCTCAAGCTCTTTGAGTTCATTGTTCAAAGTTTCTACTTCACTTGCAATCATTTGTTCCATATCTTCATCCATGCCTTCCTCTTTTGCTAATGCTGTCATAAGAAAACATATATATATATATATATATATATATATATATATATATATATATATATATATATATATATATATTAATATAGACCTTTTAGAATTGTACCCTATGCAATGACAAGTTCATTATTTATAATTTGACAAGATATTTGACTGAGTCATATAGTAGAGTAAGAGAAAGATAATAACCTTTAGCATCTTCTAATTGCTTCTCACACTCCTTAAATTTACGATAGGTTGAGACCACCTAATAAATCATTCAATTTATAAAAGATAAGTTGATGGCCGACAAAGACGAGCCAAGATTAAGAGGGAAAGCATAACAGAACCAGGAATACCTCATTAAGCTCTGAAACAGACTGTGCTAGTTTTTGGTATTCACTTGGGTTTGAGACTACATCTGGATCACCAAGCTTGACCTGTCATTAAAATTGAAATTCATCAGAGTGATTGATTTATAACTTAACAGCATAAAGCAAACAAATAGGATAGATGACGCTAAACCATACTGCCCATTATCTTTCCAAACAATTTTAACTGATTTGGTTTTCACACATTGTAAGTTTGTACTTATGGTGTCAAGACATTTTTAAACAACAAAATCAAGAAGTTTGACACTCGCAAATGGATAAATAGAGCAATAAAGATTACAGGTCAAATGACCGCATATGCATAGTATTACATGTTGTAACAGATGCAAGAAAGATTAACGAAAAGACAACAAGAGCACACAGATTTACGTAGTTCACTAACAATGTGTTAGAAAAATCTATGGGTAGATACGAATTAACTGCACACCTTTGCCATCCAACTCACATCTGTGCATTGGCTCAAAACCATGCAAATGACATGCATAGGCACCGAAATACACCCTGACTCAAATCCAGACATATGCTAACAACCTGACTCCCAATAGCAATGATGTCACCAAAATACACAAGAGATGAGCCAAAAGCTCAAAACCAAACTCACATGGATCAGCTTAAAGAGCAAATTGAGCTAGACTTGGACTAAAACAGGAAATAGAAGTACAAAACAGTTCAAAATTGTTTTATATGAATGTTGTTCTTGAAACTACTTGGAAAGAATTTGCACCAACCACTCTCCCCCAACCCCCTCCCCAACCCCAACCCAAAAAATTATACATTACATCCGGCAGTCATAACTCTAAAATAATTCTTTTATACAGAGTGCTAGCCAAAGAGGGCAACCTGACAAAGGAATGATGGTCTCACTAACACATGGATTTCCCCTCTACTTCCTGCTTAACCCACAAACAAAAGTAAGGAAGAATACATTAAATAAATAACAGATTCTAAAAATAGCACTTGTTTCTGCAACAGTGAAGAAAGATTTTTTTTTGCAGCATAGGCATTTAGCTGACTAGTCATGTGGAGCTGGCATGTACTTCTAATTATTACCAGTATTACAATTGTATTATTAGCTTCTGCGGTTCTGCCAACAGCAAGTATAATTTAAATTATCTTCCAAATACTACACTTAAGATACTGACTTCTTAACTACAAAGAATCATCCGTTTAAAAGGGATTTAGTGCAGTTTAAACATTTGGAATTGAGTCACTATGTTATCAAGCCATGTAGTATCCTAGTAGGCTACCCCATGACTCATGAAAGAGGAAGCAAGCAGCTGGCAGCTTGTGGCATGAGTTTAAATGCTACAATCGAGTTGCAGGGCATTGTTTGACAGTTAAGCAGATAATAGTCAGGAAATCATTGGTTTAAGTGTACTATTAGCAAGTCAATTTATATCAAGTGTGATACACATTTATGAAGTCATTGGTTCAAGTGTACTTTAGCAAGCCAACTAATATAAAGTGTGTTGTTGGGACCTGGAAAAAGCCATCAATAGTACATGGTCAGGAATATAAGATAGACCCTAGTCACCCAAATAGTTAGTATTTAACACTTAAAAATTGTATATCACCACATCCTCTTAACTTTGAAAGAAGTGTTAGAATTTGGCTTTATAGAGGAGTGTCAAACCACTTACAAGCTGAAATGTTTCAATTAGCAATGGAATAGAAACTACCAAGCATATAAGTGGCATGCTTCTCCTAGTCTCCCTAACTCCAAAGTAAAACCATTAATGTGTACAGAGACTGCAGGCATGTTATGAAAATGGGAGTCATAAACTCATAACACCCTCTCACTTTTGAGTACCTTTTAAACCTGAGCAAATAGAAAGGTAAACAGTAATCTACATTGAGGAGAACCATCCAATAGGAGCCAAATCCTTTACCAGTTACAAATGGTTAAAGGCCCAGATTATAAAATAAGTCAGTCTAGATTTTGGTAGAAAAGGTTAAGGGTACACCATACTGTAGGATTGTAAGAAGAAAGCTAAACCAGTCACGACCCATTTGGTAGGTGATAATAAATGTAGGTAATGGGAATGTTATTGTGTTGTATATATGTAGGAAATTTTTGTAAAAAAAAATCATATAGCAATTACCGAGGCCATAGTAAATAGTAATGCTAATTTACCTCTAATATTTCAATTTTATCATAAATTTCATTACCATCCATTACAACTTGGCCTGGGGAGTGATATTGGGTAGGAATGGAGATTTACGGAAAAAAAATAAATAAAAAAAACCTAAGCTTGAGAATAGTATGGCATTATCATGGACATTATAATGCTACTTTCCTTGCATTACACTCAAATTCATTCCTATTACTTATTACTGGCTACCAAACGGGCCGTTAATAGTACAAGAGAATTATATCCCCAAAACCATTTAGCAATGAAATGATAAACTCCCTTTGAATTAGTTGGTAGTTATTTATGTAATTTTCAAGAGCATATGTGTGTTTGTGGGTGGGTGGGGGGCATCTTACATAGAAACACACATCCATGGGGACTCAACAAATACTTTTTACAAGAAAAGGGTTCCTGAACTTTGCTATGCGGAAGTGTAAACCATTGTTCTTCGGCTTCTTCCATTTCTTATTCGGGGTTCTATTGATCAATTATCTTAAAAATCAAGTGTCCCCAATACATTCCATTCTCCACTTTAAGAGAGTTACATAATAACCACCCATTTTCCAATCATGGAAAAGTTAAAATTCGGGGATATATTGTCTTATTTTCCTCAACTAGATGCATGGGAACTCTCATTAAGGTCACATTTCCCATTGCCAAAACTCGGAAACTCAAAATTTAAGGGAAATTGTTTTGATTTACCAGCAAGTTTTTATCCCTTAAGTCTCTTTACAGTTACAAAATGACCTTTCCAATTCCAATAACTCTTAAAATAAGCCAAAATAACTTCAATACCATCTTTACCTCACTCCTTTTGTTTAAAATTTCAAAGAAAAATCACCAGTAATTTATTATCATGTTCGCATTTCCTAATTGTATGAAAAATTGCATTCCACATTTATCCGTTTCCACATTTTGTTTCCAATTACTTGCACAGCACAACTGCACAATTATCTTGTATCTCAACCAAATTCCACCAATTTTCCAACAATTCATAATTAAATAACAGAAAACAAAACAAAACAAAACAAAAAAATGGCGCCAAACAATTGATAATCAATTACATACCGACAACTCTTTCCACGTCTTTTCAGCAGATTCCAGCTTAGCAATTAGATAAGGTTCCTGCAAATAAAATATTTTTTAAAAAATGAAATTCGCGAAATACATATCCAGAAATTTCAATTCACTAAATTGAGAAAAAATTGAGATAAATGGAAATAGAAAACAAACAGCCATGCAAATGACGCCGGAGCTCCGGCAAAGCTTCGGAGATGGCCATAGAAGAAAGCTAGGAGTTCGCCGGCTGCGAGCGAAATCTTGCGGGGAAAGGAAGCGATTTGAGGGCGCTGAGACCCGAAGATTGAAGCTCGTTGACAGACCATTCATGGCGGTTTGAGGGAGGAAGAGAGAGAAATAGGTGATAGAGGAGTAGAAGATAGAGAGGTTATATGGCGCGGAGAGTGAAATAAAATCGTGGATAAAATGCCGTTTAATACAAGTGTGCCGTGTTAACGGTGGGGTTAAGGATTAATGGATTAAGGATGTAGGAGTATTCGTGTTCAATTCCGACTTACCTTAGATACACTAGTATTAAACTTCCAACCACCTTATTAAATGATAATGTATATTTGTATGCAGTTTGATTACAATATTTAAAAGGTGTCAACAAGTTAATACCCCTTGTCCCTTAGCCGTTTTTTTTTTTTAAATAAGTAAGTATATCTTTACATGATTTTGAGAAATAACGTTACATAAAACATTTATACCATGTAATGATTTCTTATACAATGATTCCCAAAACAAGGATGTACCATTCTTGCCTAGAGGATATCATTGAGTATACGAGAGTGATGGATCCTATACATAGAGATACAACTATACCCCCATTTCCGAAAAAAATAATAACAAAGAGACTGGTTGTAGCATATAACCAGTCTTAGGAACTATAATATCATACGAAGTACCCTTCCAAACAAAGTGAGACTGTCAGTCTAGTTCACTTATTAAATTACTCATACTTAAATAAGGAAGAGACCGATAATTCTGATAACTGGTCTCTTAGGTATCATCTAAGAGATCTCCCTCGTTAAATCAGTTATATTCTTGATAAAAAAAAGAGCAGTGATTACCAGTAATCGATCTCTCATCATTGCCAGATGATGGGTACACCGTACTTCCATACATGCAAAGACTAATGTAATAGTTGAATGAACTAATAACTCAAATTTCATTGGCAAAAATTATAATACTCCATATATTACTTAATTTTTTTTATTAAGCTTAATTTCATACCCCCATATCGAATTCATGGGTCCGACACTAGTGTATGAATGGCTGATGTGAGATATTAGTGGGCAACTTTTGATTGGGTCTATAGAGACTATACGACTTGGTCGTTGGGGTCACATTCGCAGAATCGTAGCTGGACGCCACAATTCAGTGGAGGCAGTAATGAGGCGTGGAATTTGATATAGAACATAGGAGACCCCAGGAAGAGCGAGTACAGGATCATTAACAGCATTTGATGCAAGCCTAGCTAAAATACACCTTCGAAGCAATAAACTATGTGGCGTATGCAATGGGGAGCAAGTAATATACATGCTATTTTCAATTAGTGTACGTATAGGATCATTCTCCTTTTGCTAGTCATTTACAAGACCCGGACACCCCTTCATCTTCTATTTTAGGAAGATTTACTTGATGCAAACAAAATTTAATAGAGAAGACCTTATGATGTTTGCAACTTTGGCTTGGATGCTTGGTTTTTCGAATTTTTGTGCTATTCGATGAACCGTGACGAAGCAAAGAGGTTGTGTTGTTGCCTTGTTGGGTTTGGTATAATTGGTGAAAGATTTAAGAAATATGCTACATTGGTTTTTGGCAGGCCAAACAACAGTGCGCCTATAAACCCATGGCTGCCACCTACTATGGGAAGGGTTCGAGTAAATGATAAATACACATGTCGTGTTTATAGAGGGGGTTAGTTTTGTTTTGGCAAGCTAATTACTGTAATTGTGCACTGTAAGCAGTAATTGTGCGTAGAGTGAAGGTTCAACTCAGTAGCAATCACGAAGGCTTTGGCTATATGAGAATAAGGTCCTTTTGATTGGGCTGCCAGCAAGTTGAGATGGAATGTGCACTCTCAATGTAGTACAACTGTACAAGCCATCTGTTTGAAGTCCTATGATCTGGTTATTATATGCCATGGTGGTTGTCAGCTTGAATATTTTTCGCATAATAATATTTAAAGTGCTGGAAATTGTGTAGTTCAATTTGCAGCTAGACTAGCTCTGTTTAATGGGGTAGAGCATGTGTATAAAGTATCATCTCCGAACCCTGTTCATCCTCTCAAAATAAAAAAATATAATAAAACCTAGCTCAATCTGTTAAGGAAAAAAGAGTGGAAGGGGGGAAGGGGATAGAGGAACCAAGGGAAAAATAATGAACCTTTCTCCACTTTCGCGTGATATGCTAAACATGAGCTAAAAAAAAGCTTTCTAACCTTAATGTCAGAAACAGTCTAACCTTCAAGCCAAGAATATACAACAATGGATAATGAACCCAAATACCATTAACAGTTGGTCAGTTACATAAAATGTATACAATGCTTCAATCAACTGAAATAGCCTTGAAAGGCATGGGTCTCCAAACTCTCGAGCATTTTTTGCTAGCTAACATGAGGATAATAATGAGCATCCTAGTGTTTTTTCTGTCCATAAGCCTCAATAAGCCTTCTGAAAGCCTACAATACAAATGCATCAACAATATAGAAAACAGAAATCAGAATCAGGATACACAAGACTACAAGTGCAATTAAAAAAATACAGTAAAATGACACATCTCAAAACAGTACATCAGAAAAGCAGAGGAGAAAATAGTATATAGAAGTATAGAACCCCAATGGATACCTCTTAAGGAAATACGGAGTACACTCATGAATAACTTGCAAAGGAGCTTGAACAAAAGGCTGTTCATTTGGTAGATATATGAGCTTGAACAAAAGTTTTGGGCTAGTTTGATAAACAAACCTAGCGGTAACAACTAACAATAACCTCATTTAGGCTTCCCAACAGCTTGTTCGTATTCATTTATGAGCTCATTAAAGTTGGTTTATAAGCTAGTATGTAACTTGCTTTCTCAACTTTGGGTCTTTGGATAAATTTGTTTAAAAAAAAGAGGATTTGAGATAAAACTCTTAAATTAAGATTGAGCTACAGTATATCTTATCGGGGGTTGTTGAAATCCCAAGATCTCTTTCTTTCTCTAAGCAAGCAACCAGGTACTAACTCCCATAGAGAGAAATGAGTACCAAGTAACAAGAACTAATCTTCAAGCACAAGAAAGGTGCCTCGAGGCCCACACTCTCAATCTAGCAGTCATCCTATCAGTAAGAATACCACAATCACTAACATAAAGTCTTTAATGAGGTGGAAGAAGCCCTTTTTTCTAATAAGAAATGAGGCTTTTGTTATGGACTGATTTTACTCACGCTAATAACAGTAAAATAAGGAGAAAGCTTAGGAATTTGATTAAACATAAAAGGTAGTAGTAGGTTTAGCCTACAAAGCTCAAATTAGTGACTTGAGGTCACAACTCTCCAAATAGTGACTTAAGGTCACAAACCTCCTAAGGAATCACTCCAAAATTCTGCCTAACCTTTCCTTTTTCCTCTCCTTCTACATATACCAAGGACTATTAACCTAATAATACAAAATTTCCCAAAGTGCCCCTCCTAAAGTTAATTTATTACAGCTTTTTCAACAAAATTGTACTGCAAGAAAACCAATACCATTGCCTTAGAATAGTCAAGGTATGCCTTTCCAAAGGCAGTTAAGAGTTCTCTCTAGGTCATTTTTATCAGTGAGAATACCACAATCACTGACAGAAAGTCTTTTATGAGGTGGAAGAAGCCCTTCTTATTCTAAACAGAAATGGGCTTTTTCACCTATAATTGAACTGTAATCGAACCAATATCATTGTCTTCAAATTGTCAAGGTATGCCTTTCGGTCTTTCCAAAGGCAGTTTAGAGTTCCAAGGGCAGTGTGAGGACCGAGTAGCTCAGTGGTGGTCAAGGTCAGGGGTAATATTTAAATGAGTCATTAACACGTCAAGGAGATTCTGGCATTTTGCCTAACATATTAGCTACACACATGAAAGTACTAAATTTCTTCTCCATTATCTAAATCTCACTATAGTTCCAACAACTACATCCCAAAAAAAATATACGAAGTAGTATCCAACGGTCCAACCAGTCCTCAAAATCATAACAAAAGATATACACCCATCAACTTTATTTTCGATCTGTGATTTTCTATTTTTTATTTCATTTTATATTTAATCTATGTTTTTAGACTTGGGAATTAGAAGAAAGAAAACAAATTGTTAAGAATAATAAATAAACGAAATATGAAGAATGATTCCAGCCTGTGCGTAAAGCAGTGGCAGATAATAGATTATTCGGCAAATTGGCGATGATGATGCATCTTCAGGCGAATCAAAAGCCCTGTGATGCGGAGAAAGGAGAGAAGAAAGGGATGATGAATCTTCAGGCGAATCAAAAGCCCTGTGATGCGGAGAAAGGAGAGAAGAAAGGGATGATGAATCTTCAGGCGAATCAAAAGCCCTGTGATGCAGGTAAAGAAGAGAAGGAAGGGAGGAGAGATAGAGAAGGGTGGAGAGAAGTAACCTACAACTATTTTCAGGTGATCCTTTTAAGTGATTCTGTTCACTTTCATAACTACTGGGTTGATCATTATAGCCCAATATTGACCCTTAAAGACCCTATACAAGCCTTGTCTAATAAGATAGTTGATGTGTTATAGCCCTTTTAACATGGTCCGACTGGGCGACCGTAGTTCCCATTGAACTGCCATGTCCATTAACCAGGTATAGCTGTTTAGGTAAATATAATCAAATTCTTAAAATGGTTGTACTCACCAATTTTGGAACTTGGATAAAACTGAGCATGGATCCAGAAGTCTTGAGACTCTTGACATGCAAAATGTCAGAGATGTGGATTAAGCACCGAGAAGAGCATTAACATGAGATGAAAATATTGATCTGTTAATGTGTGAATAGCTGTGTCCAGAAACTTTGTTGAGAAATGTCGACTTGGGTATGGGCCGTATGGCAAGGCTAGTGATGAGTCCAAGAATAAATGACATATAAGTTGTTAAATATTACCATATGTGTATTCAATATTTACCTTTAGGGTACCAAAAGCCGCCACAAAGTGTGTTACAGAGTTGGGTATCAAATCCAATGTTGCAAGCTAAGTTATCTACAGGTGCCAGTTAGAGGAAATATCCTTTCAGAGGCAGCATTTAATTGCATGCAAACCTTTCAAGGAGGGTAGATACATTGAACGTCTATATAGTCCATTGGATGTATCATTATGCTTTTCATAAACTTTGTCATTGTTCCTTTTTTGAGATTCTAATCGAAGAGTATACTGAGGGATCTTTGTGGCCTAAGAAGCAGGGTTGGTGCTAAGAGAAAAAAAAATGTATCTTATTAAGACAGATTTGGTATGCAGCAAGGAGGTTAGGGTTATAGCAGATTGGCGTCAAAACATATTACTCATAGTACCTTTACAAAGTAGTGCTAATGACATTTTCTTCTTCTGCCTGAGGCCCATACAGCATATTGTTACTGAGAGCAAAGATAGATTGTGTCAAACTGGATGTCTAGATGAAGGTGAGGGCTTTCAGGTCAATAGCAGACTCTACTCACACATCTTTCAACACTATCATATGGCATTCTATCTATTGAGGCTGTATTCTGTGCAAGTTGGAGACTTTGGTTGATCACATTGTCAAGAGAACCAAACACATTATCAAGATATCAAGATGTAATTATGGTGTTAAAATATCCTAAATGTTATTACCATCCATACAGTTAAAAGTATCCGAATAAAAGGCTCAATGACACAGAGCAAAACTTGGAAACACCTTAGAACATACCTAGAACAATTAATAGCAAAAATGGTGGGTTAAGTGACAATATGAGTGAAATGGTGGAAAATATTTAAACAATAAAATAATCGTGTACAAGCAACCCCGAGAGTTCTCTTCACCCACTTCAATCGCCTTATATACTAGCCAGACTCCACGACATAATCCTTATATTATTAAGATGTCTTTTTAACATAAATCTCCCAATTTGAGTCTACTTTTGCTTTAGGTTAATCGTAGTTTCACGATAGACGAACAATATAATACTTCATATTAGAATATTAATCCAATCCTCAAGACACCAACATAAGAATTTCAGTTCAATTTCTCACTCAAATTAATCCTTGAACAAATTTTACACACTTTCACAACAATCAATCAAACTAATATCAACCAATAGTCACAAATTCCAATTCAAAACCCAACAATTCAACAATTCAATTTCAAACCCACCATCTTTTCAATTCAATTCCTAATCAAATCATTCTTCAACAAATGTCACAACAATAAAACAATGCAAACATAATTTAATCCAAAACCCTAAAATTCAAACCACGCATTAAAATCAAACAAAACTCAGCAAAATCAAGTAAACCCAAAAAACAAAATAAGGGTTTCAATTTCAATTACCTCTATTTACAATAACGATCAGCCTTCTTCTTAACACGATCTTCAAGAGCTTCTTCAACAGACTTAGATTTAGCAGCTTTAGGATCATACCCAAATTTCTTCGCCTCAACAGGAAAAAGATCATCGTATTTCATCTTTTTGGCAGCATCAATGGTATAAATACCTTCTCCAGAAGCAGTATCAATGGCGGATTGTTGTTCATCTAGAATATCAGATGGTTGAATTTCTTTGCTTTTCTTCTTCTTTTTCTTCTTGTCAATGGTTTTTGTGCGAGTTGCTAGCTCTCCACCTTTGAAACTTAAGCGACCTCCTTTAACTCTCTCGTAGGGATTGTCTGACATCTGCAATGGCTGTAAAGAGGTGCAGTAATGGCGGTCGTAGAAAAGCAGCACAGTGGTTGAGGAAGGAGCGAAAGGGTGGAAGAGAAAATCCGAAACAAAATTCTAAGATTGAATTTGGGATTCTATTACCCAATACTTGTTTTTTGAGTTTGCCCCCACCCGAGTGAGTATCCCAATAATTTTGCATTTGGTGAAACTCGAACTCGAGATCTCTCTTTACCAACATTAAGTTGTCTTGAGGCAACTCTTGTTAGCTATTCTCTTCATCTTTTTAAATACTGCTTCATTTCTACTTTTTACACTATTCATTTGTCCTGTTTTGACTAATGTTTGTAATTTATACATAAAAAAAATATATTCAGAATTTATACTTATTGATAATTAAAGATATTATTGATCAAAGATTAGCATCGGCATACCGCCCATAACCCTTTCCCCTCTCACTGGCACCGTTCGAAATTCCCTCTCATTACACTAGCACAACGCGCAACCCTCTCCCCTATCACGCTACTACCCTCCTCCGACAGCAGCCGCAAGTAGCCGCCACAAATCGTCCCCGCTGCTCCCTCATCAGCGCCATCAACTGCACTCCATTTCGCAACCCCTCGCGCATCAGAATCGCCCACTAGCAGTCACCAATTCGAACAAGAAAAACCGCAGCCCACGGCACTGCGGGGTTGGGTGGTTGACGGGGAGATCGAGCAGGAAGGCAGAGAGGAAAGGGAAAGGTGGGAAGAGTACATGGGTGGCAGAGGGGTAGTGGAGGATGGCTGGGAGGAGGAGAAAGAAAGGGTTTTTATTTTTATTATTTTTTTTGGTAATTTTTTTTAAAACTCAAAAGAAAAGAAAAAAAAAATACTTGAAGAACAGGTTACCGGTCATCTTGGCCTAATAAAAAAAAAAATAGGCCATTAAATTTGGATTATTCATGTATAATCAAAAGGTCAGTTTATTAAAAATAAATCGTGTAAAAGTTGGATTATTCAAATTAAATTTTCCTTTATAAAAAATACAAAGTGTAATGGTAGTCAATTAAGGAATTGTTTTCGGAAGTGAACCCCCCAAAGTTATATGAAGTACTTCGTACAACTTATAGCTTGGAGTTGAGGGGTCGACTTTTTCCATTAAATATACGGAGTACAGAGTTACTCCGTACTATATGCTTTGTACTATGTCACTTCTTACTATTTTCATTAAATATCCATTGAATCACTCCGTGTTAAACTTATCTGGCCTGGCCACATCATCTACTTAGATAATTTTCTTTTACTATTTTCTCTGTTTACTTTTAGTAGTAACCTTTTGACTTTCATGCTAGCTACTGTATAATTTTAATTTTTCGCATCTTTAATTATAGAAATGTAAAAAATCTAAGATTCCACATGATTATATTTTGCTCCATATAAATCAATAAATATCAATTATAAAAATATAAAAGTATAATATTCAAGTCTTGCAACTAAAAGTGATGAAGTATATATAACTCACAACAAAAGCCATATTGCAACACCAAAGCCTTACAACCCCGTTTAAAATGAAACAATGTTTCCACATTCACTCAAGAAATCAGGGGTGTGATTGTCATCGATATCTTAGTGTGTGTTCATAAGTCCATCCAATAAGTTTTAGGTGTTAAAACAAGCTATTAAAACTTAACCATAAAAACTAACTATTTCGCGCGCAACACGGGCGTAGGATCCCCTAGTAATACAAAAAAGGGAGAGTGTAAAGGTTGATTTATGATATTAGTTTAGTTAGCTCCCGAACTATGGTTTTTTGGTTAAGAGTTTTTGGAGCAGAAAGTGTTGTTTGACCATTTTAAAAAGCTATTTGTTCATTTTAAAAGCTAATTTGGGTGTTTGATAAATAGCTTATTGAAAGAGCCTTTGGGGCTCAAAAATCTCTTTTAGAAAGAGCTCATTAAAAGAGCTATTTGAAATTAGCTTATTAAACAATTAGCTTTTTAGATATTAAATACATTTAAACAGTTAACAATTAACAACTATTTACCAAACATTTTTACACCAGTAGCTAGCTATTTACAACAAGCTAGTCAAAATAGCTAATATAATTGGCTGGTCAAACCATACAGTATAACTAGTTATGTCAATCAGCTACCAACTAATTACCAAACAGAGCCAAAGAACTATAAGAAAGAGTGTATTGGGTCCAAAAGGCTCATTTTCAAAAACCTCATATGAGAAGCTTTTTTACAATGTTTTTTTTTTTTTTTTTTTTTTTTTTTTTTTTTTTTTTTTTTTTTTTTACCGTGGTGTAAAACTAAAAAGTTAAAAGCTGAAATTAATTACCTGCTTGAATTAACTGATTTGACTAACCGGTTGTAAATAGCTAATTTCTTAAATATGTTTGAGTATGTATAATAACCAATAAGGAAATTGACATATATTATTATGGTAACGTTCTGGATTAAATAAGGGTATAATTGTCATTTCACCTTAAAATACTTGAATAAGCTAATGAACAGGCTCCACCAACACCCTAATTAACTTATACTCCCTCCATTTTTTTTAGTTGACGGTTTCTTTAGTTACGTTTGCCAATGCACAATTTTAACAATTAATATCTCTAATTATCGATAAACAAAAATTATGAAAAGTTGATATTTTGAAAATATATATCGTGACGAATCTAACAAGATCCCACATTACTATATTTTTCATTAGGTATAAAACACAAAACGCGGTCAAAGGGGAGTGGGTGAATAGTGCTAAAGTCAAAACGTGTCAACTAAAAAAAGACGGAGGTAGTATTACACATTGTAGTGGTCAATTAACAAAATTGGTCAAATAAGCTAATTTTGCCTAATAAGCTATTTAGTAAACACTTCCTTTAGCTTTTTGGTTGTTTATACACTAAAACTGCCAATTATTAACTATTTACCAAATATTTTTACACAACACAACTAATTACTATCAATTAGTTCAAAACAACTACCAACTAACTAGCTAATTACCAAACAAGGCCAAGGTTTGTGGACATTAATTGGAAGGTGGAAACTCTTTTGATCCATAATCCAAATCTAATGATTATAAAGAGTAAGGTAAGTCAGGTGTGTCATTTGCAATTTTACATCTTTAAATGGTTTGAAAAATATTAAAACATATCTCATATTGGGTAAACATACCTCAATAGGAGTATATTATATTTTAACAGTTTTTTCTTACAACACTTCACCATCATCCTTCAAAATCTCAATACTTAAATTCTAGGTATTTCCCTTTTATTTATTTATTTATTTTTAACTTATAACTATCTTGCCCACTAATTTTCTTTAATTTTTTTAAGGGACTTTATCGCTCCAATAACTACCAACATTTCACTTTATATTGTTTTCTTTCACGAATAACATATCTCGTACATTAGCACGTACGGAAACGCTATAGTACTACAATTACCCAAGATATTCTTATCAGTTAATGTTTATTGCTTTAGTTAATGGTCATAATCAAATGGACAAATTTCTTGTCAGAAAAAATAAAAAGATGGACAAATTTACTTCTCTCCTTTCTCCCGTTCCACTAATGAAAATCTTATGCAGTTAGGTAGTCCACACAATTGGCTCATTAAAACTTAAAATTAGCTAAAAACAAAACCCTAGTTTTGGCACAAATTAAAGATACCTTAGAAGTTGGAATCCCATAGATTATACAACTATATACAAAATACAAGTGGCTTCTTAATTAGTTTTAAGTTTTTATTAGCTACGTACTCCAATTATTAGAAATATAAACTAGATTATGCATGCAGTTGAATACTTCAAAATCTACGGTGGTTGTTAAGGAGTTACTAATCAACCCTCATGCACTTTCATTTAGATTATTTTACTTCGATCTTCAAGGCTCTAGCTACTTGTTTTGACTTAGCAATCGACAAATCAGAAATATACAAATTTATTTTAAGTACGTTCTTACCAACAAAAGAATAGACTAAGTCTTTCTTTTTTAGGGAAGGAAAAAGATAGGAATATTCCTATCTTTCTTATTTTACATATTAATTTTTGTAGACTACTATTTTATGTAATAAATCTAATACTATCTTCTTATTATAATAAATAAATAAATTAATAAATAAAAATATATCTATGATTTCATCAACTTAACGACTTTTATATGCACTCGGGTGTACATAGAGATAGGTGCACTCAATAATGATTTTTTGATCATTTGTATATATTTAATTTTTGCTCATTTTAAGAATTTAAAATGAGTAGAAAATACCTTAAAATGAGCAAATAATAATAAATAAGCAGAAGATACCCTTGAATGCACTTTACACTCAGGTGTATATAAATGTTAATACATCAACTATAAATAAGAGAATTAGTTCATTTTTTATACTCCCTCCATTCTTGTTTTTACCAATAGTGTGTGGTCATCCACAATGAGGTTACTCGGTTAGTGTTATAAGGGTTACTCTATTACGTTTATATAGTGGAAACTTATTTAATAATATAGGGTTTACTCTATCAGTGTTCGTTGTACGAGTTACTTTATTATTTAAGGGTTACTCAATGAATATAATAAGGGGCTACCCTATTAGTATAATAGGGGTTACTCTGTCAGTATTATTGGAGTTACCTCGTTTTTTTTTACAAGAGGTCACACGGTGTGTCTTGCTGCATAGAAAACATGTTGTATATTTTTAGTTCATATTGAAAGTAATAAATTTATCAATGCGTTTTCATGTAGCTCGCCACACCGTGTGCTCGACTGACACACACCAAAACACTGACTGGGTAACTATTGACCGAGTAATCTCTAATCGACTGAGTAACCCTTGTTGATCAAGTAACCCCTGATAAAATAAACCCAGTTAACCAAATATGAAACTTTGTATTCTTTTTATTCCTTCTTTTCAAGTTTAAAATATTGTCTTTTACAAGTACAAATTATAGAAAAATAGCAATTAATGACGAATCTCTACATGTCATTGTTAATATCATATATTGTTATCTATGGTATATAGGATATACTTAGGATAGAGTTATCAAAAAAAAAAAAAAAAAAAAAAAAAAAAAAAAAAAAAAAAAAAAATTGTTGAAAAGCTTTATTATATATTTAATGGCATACATATAGCGTTACAAATTAAACGATTAATAAAGATACTTAATTAAGAGATTATTACAAATAATGATATCAAATGGATAGAACATAATACCCTAATATACCAAAAAGATAACAAGATATGATGATATTAACAATTATATTAAGAGATATATTATCGTTAACACAACTCTGTACTTTTACAAAACAAAAAGAAAGATCAACATTTTACAAGAAGG